GTTGAGACTGAAACCATCACTTGACCTGCAGCTCTATTAAATGTTTTGTGTTTGATCGAGTCAACCTGAATCTCTTTCATATTCTGGCATCCCACCTGTATCTGTCTGTGACTCCCTCTGAAGCTTACCCGCCTGAGGAAAGATGCATTAGGTGCAATGGTTACGATCATGTATCGAGCTGTCACGTGTCCAGAAAACTCACAGTCTGCTTCAGGAGCCTCCTGGACTATGGTAACATTCACTAAAGTTTTCTGCCGTTCCTTCAGTAGGAAGATCAGAACTTGACAAAATAGTTGGATGTAGTTGGGTTTGAAACTGTCCCATGTGCCAGCACTGGAAAGAAGGGAAATGTGACTGTGAACAGGGAGAGAAGACGAATGCTTGAGAGAGATCCCGGTAACAAGACATTCCTTATTAGTGTTATGCCACTCTTAGAAGGAAACTTCTGCTTTTGATGGTTAGATAAAATAATTTCTTGAAGAGCAGTATTTTTAAAATAATTTCCTCCATGGACTTGTACTGGTTTGCATTTGATTTCATAGCCTTTTGAGTAGATTGTAAGTGCAGACAATAAGGTAGGGGTTTGTCTAGCATTTGGAGAAGTGTGGCGCTTGTGCATTGGGTCTAATCTTCGTATTTGGAGGAGCTTGCATAACAGTGTAGTAAAGTGTGAGAGGTCTGATTAAGGCTGCTTAATAATCCCTGCGTAGTCACTGGAGAGAGTCGGCCACTGCTTAGGAAGCGAGGGATGGAGGAGCTGCACTTCAGATAACTTCTTAGGTGCCTACTGTGGGAATACCCTGAAGAGTCTTGTTTGTTATAAGACTGGTAAATATGTGCTGTTCACGTGAGTCTTACACTAAACAGCTTTCTTCTGAAGTGTTGTTAGATGTACAGGTGCTTCAAATAATGAAAAAACAAGCTTTGTTTACTTCAGTCATACGTTATAACTTGCTCTTCTGAAACAATTGCTTAAAATATTTCTCAAGGTTTTGCCTGCTTTGTGCCAATAAAATAGCTGGGCTGACATGATGTCATTAACTCTGAATACTGCAAGATTTGATATCTGCACAATCAAAAGACACAAGTACATTGTCAAAGTTCGGGACCTGAGTTCAAAGGCCTGCCACGTAAAGTCAGTTGCAGATACTTTGGGCTGCTAATCATGTGCAGATAGAAAGAGACTGGAGGAGGAAAGGGTGGGTCGATCTGAAATAGTAAGATCGTAGATTCACTTGGTTATGTGCACACCTTGATCAGTCCAGTAAGTTGTGATAGTATGTGTTCACTTACAGGTGACGTGGCAAAATTGGCTTGCAAGTAACTAAACTTTTGAGGGAGGTGACATAGTAACTGTTAGTTGCCACAGGCACAAAACACCTTCGGATGTGCAAGTAACGGGAGGCTTGTGAAAAAGGAAGAAGAAAACCTGAAGCCTCATTGAGGTGCAGTGCCAGAGTGGGTGGGCTGGGGGAACGTGGAAAAGGAAAGGAGGTGGCTAGATGAGTTTGAGTGATAGGTGGTTGGTGATAGGAGTTATACAGAAGACAGGTGAACGGGTTGCATGAATTTATTTTTAGGCTTTGCCCTCTTCTGAGGCTCTCGCCTCTTTTAGCTAAGCCTGTGCTACATTTGAAATAAACCCCTGAACTACAAAAAACGGTGGGCTGGGGGAACGTGGAAAAGGAAAGGAGGTGGCTAGATGAGTTTGAGTGATAGGTGGTTGGTGATAGGAGTTATACAGAAGACAGGTGAACGGGTTGCATGAATTTATTTTTAGGCTTTGCCCTCTTCTGAGGCTCTCGCCTCTTTTAGCTAAGCCTGTGCTACATTTGAAATAAACCCCTGAACTACGAAATACTTGTGTATATATATATATATATATATTTTTAACTCCTCAGAAGTCTCTACAGGTACTGTTCTCAAATCTCACACCTTTTTGCTCTTTTGGAGAGTAGGGTGTTATGTACGCAAACATTCCTTTAGACCGTGGAAATGGGAGCTCTATAAGAAGCAGAACCAGTGAACGCATTTCCAGTTGTTTTGCCCTGAGGTTGTGCTCACCTGCTCTCTGTTGAGATTAAAGTCACTGCATCAGCCTTTCTCTCTGTTGGGGATGTACCTTTCTTTTATACACATTTGCCTATTTTCCCAAAACCAAAAGGCACGTAAGATATCTATCCCGCTTGCACGTACAGCTTGGTTGTATGAGCCTCATTTCCTTCAGCAGCAAAACTAAAAATTCACAGGCAGGTAGACTTTAAAAAAAAAATAAATCAAGCCTTTTGGATGAATACAGCGGCGATAGTCTGATAGTACGTTACGGCAGGTGTATTCTCTGAGGAAGGAGCATTGACTCATTTCTCCAGTGAAGTCTGCCATTTAATTTGGAAATCTGCCTGATGGTGACTGATACCAGATCTTTCACAGGAGAACAGAGAATCCCTCTGATGGGCAGCTGATATTTAGTGAAAGCCTTATGCCCTGAAGCATGACGCTTTGTATGTCTTGGAAAGTTGTATACCTTTATATGTGCAGTTGGTAAACTATAGGTGATGTTATCCCTAGTGATGAAAATATATATATTTTAATCTTAAACTCTTGCTGTTAGTGGCATAGTGAGTTGAATAATTTCATAGGCTAGATACATTTTAGAAAATGTCTTTGGTTTCTAAGTTTGGTGTCTTTCCATTTTCGTGGTCGTCTTCTGGCTCTTTCTGAAAGGTAAATGAGAGTGTTCAATGTATTACCTCTGTGGTGTTTGTCAAGTGGGATATTTTGGAGTTATACTTCATCAGCATTACCAACCATTGACCATAAAACTGCAGTTCTGAGCAACCGTACTTAAAAGTTGACTTTGTTGAAGTTAATCTTTCTGAGTTGGCATTTTTCTTTTTTGTTTTCATTTCACTTTTATGTTAAAGTTTAAGCAGCTTTCTGCACTGTTTCTTTCATGGCTGCTAGCACAACACATTGAAGATTGATGTGATGTTTCAAGTTGACATGTAATCATAGAATCCTAGAATAGTTTGGGTTGGAAGGGACCTCTAACATCTAGTCCGTCCAACCCCCCTGCCCTGGGCAGCAACATCTTCAACTAGATCAGGTTGCTCCGAGCCCCGTCCAACCTGACCTGGAATGTTTCCAGGGATGGGGCATCCACCACCTCTCTGGGCAACCTGTGCCAG